AAAAAATAAAATTGACTATGGTGATGGCTGCATGCATCTGTGAAAGCAATAAAAACCACTAAACTGAATTCTATATACTATATGGCTGAACTGCCTAGCATATGATTTGTATTTAGTAGCTATATTTTATTTAAAGTCTCTAGGATTCCCAACATATCTCTTCCCCCTCTCCCTTTTTCATCTCACAGATGTCTAGATATATACCCAGTGGCACCTTGTTCATGAACTTAATTCTTTCCATGATTCTGGTCACAAATCTAACTGGACAAGAACCAAATCAAATTCAATGGTTAGGTTCAATGACCTTATGGGGAAGTTTGATTAGTTTTTGTCCAACTTGGGTTGCAACCAGAATGGTGGAAAGTATTACATTTATAAGCTAAGACAGATGACTGATAGATATATAGACAGACATGTTGTTAACAAAGAACGGGCCAGGGTGAGGTGCAGCTCAGTGAAAGGGTGCTTGCCTAGCATCCAAGAGGCCTTGGGTTCAATCTCAGCCGTGGAGGAATGTCCCAGGACACTCCTATGTATCTGGATTCTGTAGAATGGAAGATGTATTACAGTGATTAGATCAGATGTATCTTAAAATTCCTTCCTAAAACAAGACTTTTGTGTATGTGTCTTTAAACTTGTGAAATGCCACAGAAGCAGTAAAGCACAACAGTTAAACACACTTACATCCCACTGGCACAGATCTACGCAGTCCATCAGAGCAGCCACTAACACAAGCAACTTTTGCACATCTGAAATATGCTACAAGTATGCTAAGGAGATGAAAACTCATAGGCAAATGAGCTCATTAATTTTATAATGATTACATACTAAAGTGATATTCTGAGTAAACTGAGTTAAATAAAGTATATTAACATTATTTCCACCTGTTTACTTTTTAAACAGATTTCATTGGGAGCCTGAAGCAAGAGGACCGTTGTGAGTTCGAGATTACCCTGAGCTACATAATGAGTTCAAGACCATCCTGAACTACATAAGGAGACTTTATCTCACACACAAAACAAAAACAGCACCACCACTACCAAAAAAACAGTGGCTCTGTACCTGCCTGGCAAAAGCACAAGCTCATGAGTGTGAAAAAAACCAAATTTTTAAGGAATGAGATGTAAGTTCAGCGGTAGAACACTTGCCTAGCATGCATGAGGCCCTGGTTTCATCCCCAGCATCATTCACACTCATACAAGTTTTTAAGTTTTAAATGCTGACTTAACAAATAATTATATATATATGGGGATCAAATGTGTTATTTTGATACTCATATATATTGTGGGATGATCAAATCAAGCTAATTGACAGGATTTAAAATTATACATCTGTTTGTATTTCTACTACAGTACTGATCAAAAAAATTTAAAGGCAATCATATAATTCATTTCCAATTGGTAAATGAAAACATTTTCTGTCTCTCCCTATTCCTCACAAGTGTGAAGAAAATAGTACCCAGAGAGGACTGAGAACTAGAACCAAGAGTCGTTTTCTTAAGTTTGTCAACTTAGTTAACAAAAGATGTGGAGGGGGTCTCTAAAACTGTAATGGATTTATTCAAGAATGAGCAGTGGAGTACAATACAGAATATGCATGCTATGACAGATCACGGGTAAGAGTTTTAAAAGGTAAAATGCAGATTACATAAATTGGTCTAAATATATAAATAAAATATAAGTATTCTTTGTGCAAGGCCATGGTTTTCAGAGTCTCTAACAATTTTTATCATGCACGATGGCCCCTCTCTTACGATCTCCCAACTCCTTGTTAGGGTCTGATGAGGCTATTGTGGTTCTGACACTTACCAGTTCTAGGTACAGTTGTTACTCTCTGGTTTATAAGACCTATATACATAATTACTTAGACTTCCTGCATTGAAGTGTTCTCACCAATTCTGTTTTGCTTTGGAAAGGCTAAAGGTATGGTTCAGTGATAACTGCATGTGCTCAGCATGCTGAAGGCCAGGGTTCCATCTCCAGCACCAAATTTACAAAAAAGAAGAGTCATACAGTAGGTATTATATTCTCCATGATAGAAGATTTTTCTGGTACTACAAATCTTGTGTTTAGAAGAAGGTACAATTGTTACATACAATTATGATAGGCAAAACAAAGGCCTAAGAAAGGTGACAAACCAGTAACCGTTTGTGGCATATGTACCTGTTATGTGGTTTAAAGAATAGAAAGTACCTTACAAGAATTACAGAAAATTCCTAGTATTTAGAACATATCTTCTCTCCAATTCCATTCTCTCAAGAAATATTAATCATACTACAGAAGCACTATTATGTAGCTTCAGAACACAGGAGAGGATGACATTCAGTCAAGTCTCCCTGTGAGCTAATCATGCTGAAGTAAACCACGTCATAATAAAGCCCTAGTCCAATTTACTTGTAGTAACTTTGTAGCTACTTTGTGCTTAAGGAGGCTCAAATGTTTTCCACAAAGCAATGTATTTTCTTTACAAAAGTTTAACTTTTCAGGACATGCACACACATGAGAGAAGTGGTTTGTTAAGCAGAAAGCACTTAGGAAGTTAGGTCAGACTCCTGATAGACTTGCCACAGGCCTCTTCCGGCAGAGGCCACACATAGGGGTTATGATTTACCATGACAAAAAAAAATGCTCTATTGCTAAATGTTACACTGGATGTGCACAACAATCACTGCACCAGTTAAGTTACAATTAGTTCACAACACATAAATAATATGCCTTTTATACAAACTCAGGGAATTCTACATTTAAAGACTTGTTTCTTTGCATCACTCCTGACAGAAGGAGACTATCCCCCTGTTAAGGGTGAGAAGGCTTAGCTGTAGAACCCTTGCAGCTAGGAGGCCCTGAGTTCCATCACTAGCACCTTGGAGAGGGGGAAACAAGCAAAACTACAGTGAGTGCTGCACAGTGACATTTCAGTCAGAGAGGGACCACCCACACGACAGCGATCCAGTCAGACTGCTGCCCAGTGACATGGTGCCATCTTAGAATTGTGCGGGTGCGCTCCACGAGGTTCCAACAACAAAACCTCCTAATGATGCATTTCTTACACGCATTCCTGCCGCCTGGCGATCCTCATGATGTATGTATTCCTGCATCCTAGTCTCCTAATGATGCATTCCTGCTGAGTTTATCTCTCTTGAGGTAAAAAAACAGCACAAACTCTGCTAAGAAATTCATACCATGATTTTATGAAAAAGCCTAACTGATGAAGCATTTAGCTTCATGAATAAAAGGATTTACAGGAGAATATGACAAAGCTTTTACAAAAAGTGTTGCTCGGAGGAAGGTTTGAAGGGAGGGGAGGGAAATGGAAAATGTTATATTTTGTACAGGAACAAATCTCTATGACGATTGTGATCATTATCTAAAATGTACCAATAAAATCTGATGGGGGGGGAACAGCAGAACACAATTGTTCTCTCAGTAGCAAGCGTAAAAGAGCAGGGAAAAAAATTAGAACAGTGAGGATGCAATCCAAATCACTCTAACTTAATTTTATTTTTGGTGGTGCTGATCCTCAAATCCTCATGCACAACAGAGAAGTACTCTACCACTGAGATAAGCTACATTTCCAGCCATTTCCCCACTGAGTAACTACTGTGTTAAATAGCTGTGAATATTATCTAAACCTTTTTCACCTTGTTCTTATTTTCAGTCTAGTATTTCTGAGGCCAGGGTATACTTAGGTCTCCTAAAAACTATAGTAAGAACTTACTATTTTCAAAGTTTTATCTTAAACAATTTGAGACACACTTTCCAGTTTCACTATTCTGTATTTGGTGGGAAAGTTCATGTTTACCATCCAAGTCCTTCATGAGTGATAGGGTTTTTAGTCACAGCCTCTCTCTGTTCTTTGCAGAAAGAAACTAAAGACAAATGAGCATGCCTCAGTTTGGTCTCTTTAAAGTAACTGAACTTCTGTGGACCTTGAAGGCTCACAAATGCGAAGCTGAATAAGATGACCTCAAAGTTCTCACTAAAATCAGAAACAGTTTTGGTTTTAACCTGTTTTCCAGCAGCCTGGTCATTAGATACCCTTTTCTGATCTTTCTCCAACTCATTATACATTTCTTAGTTGAAGGACTATTAATATTAGACAGTTTCAATAAAAGTACAGTGTAACTGTGCATGACACTACCTTAGTTACTTTTTCTTTTTTGAGATACAATATCAGACACCCACAGCTCTAAAGGGGAAAGGGTTATTTGGCTCACAATTCCTCCAAGTTTTAGTCTACAGTTGGCTGGATCCAAGGCAGAGCGGCACAGCAGAGGCAAAACAGCTCATGACAAGGTAGCAAGAAGCAGAGCCAAGAGGGGGAGGCAAGACCCCACTCTTCCATGCCAGGGCCCCTGCAGTCCTCCTCCAAAGAGGTTCACCTCCCAAATCAGTTAGCTATAAATTCACAGGGAGACTGGCCCATGGAGGTGTATCAGGCCCCCGTGAACCAATTATCTCCAAAAAGCCCCAACTGCAAATACAGGAAGCTTTCATAACATACACTGAAATTTTTATTTTCAACCTGAAGCTATTCTTGAGAAATAAGGGCTTACCTTTCATTAAGAATTTCTCCCTACGGTTCAAGGCATGTAGAACATGTGCTTATGGAACGTCCTAAGATCACATCCCAGTATCAAAATAAATAAATAAAAGAACTCAGCCAGGTGTGATAGCGCACGACTGTAATCCCAACACTCAAGGAAGCTGAGGCAGGAGGGTCACAGGCTTACAGCCCAGACTGGGCAAATCAGTGAAACTTTGTCTCAAAACAAAACAAAGAGCTGGAGCCCCAGTATAACAATTATTTAATTAATTTCTCCCTGGATCATGGGAGAAGTGAATGCAGAGATGAAGAGGATAGGATTAGCGATAGGTGCGCTGATGGGGGTGGACGATGACCACATGCTGGTTCATTCATCTACTTCTGTCTCAAATTCCCCAAAATACAAAGCCAATACACACACACACACACCCCACTTTCAAAGAGAAAAGCAGTACCTCGTTGGCAGTATTACAGGGTTTTGTTCACACTTTAAGTGTAACTGCTTTTCACATCGTTTTCCTTGAGTTGAGATGGACTCTCCAAGATATAAAATTAAGCAGAGCGCTTCTCAGTTCAGCCAGAATAAAGCAGAAAGAAAATTCTGCAAATGATTTCGGGGTTCCCAAGGAGCACACTCAAAGCACTGGGAAGGGCAGGGCGATGCGCCGAGCAAGACATGGCAGAGCCACCCCCTAACGCGGCCACAGGCAGCTCTCTGTCCCTTCTCAGCGACTAAACTCGAAGCCCTCCGCACGACGGCAAGTGCAAAGATGCCGATGCGCCAGCAGCGAGGCGGAGGACGCCTAGGCGGGCGTGGACCAGCGGAAGGGCGAGGGGCGCGGGGAAGGAGGCTGGCTGCGCCGGGACGCCCATCGGACAGGAGGCAGCGGCAGCTTCCGGGGAGCGGGCGCCCACGTGACCGGGCCGCGCCACCGCCGCCGCCCTCCTCGGGGCCGGGCCGGTGCTTGGCCGCCAGCGCTCCGGCGCGCGCAGGCTCGGCACTCGGCTCCGCCGGCCGGGCCCCAGGAGGTGGGTGGGCAAGGTCCCCGCGGCGGCGTGCCCTGACCCCGCGCCCCCGGGAAGGGGAGGCCGCTCCACTCACCAGTCTTGGGCTCAGGTTCCCGGTCCTCCGCGCGCGCCGCCTCCCACGGCCGCTGCTGTCGTTGCCGCCGCCGCCACGGCGTGCGTGAGACGTGCGCGCGCCCCCTTTGTCTACGCCGCGCTGACGTGCGCGCGCCGGCCACAGGGGCGGGGCCCGGGCGCGCAAGGCGGCTCCCTGCAGCAGGGTTGGGGCGCTCCTCCACCCAGGTCAGGCCAGGTTGCGTCCGGGGCTGTGTAGATGTGTCACCTGGAGACTGTTGATAGACAACAGGAGTCTGGATGTGAAGAGCTTAGCTCAAGGCCTGGCCAGCCCAAGAACTGTCCGCAACCACGCCGCACCCTGTTCCCCGTTGGTCGGTGCCAGGTAGCGGACCCCAAGGCTCCAGGGCCTCGCTGGGCACTGGGGCCTGCCTAGCTCGGCCCTCCCCGTCTAGTTTATCTGATTACTGACTGGGGAAGACGTAATCACAGCACTCTGGGAGGCTGAAGCAGAAAGATCACAATTTCAGGCCAAGTCATGGCAATTTAGGGAGACCCTCTCTCAAATTTAAAAACAAAAAAGCCTGAGGATGTAGCTCGGTGCAAAGGCCCTGTGTTTACTACCCAGCATCACCCCGCTAAAGGAGGGGGAGAAGGAGGGAGAAAGGAAGGAAGGAGATTCAAAGGGGCAGAGGAGTTGGTGTATGGGACCTTCGGGTTCCTTCAGAGCTGCTGCTTTCCAGGATGAACCTCCCTGGGAACGTCTCCGCATGGATTTCTCATAGCCTCTTCAGGCTTCAAAGAACTAACCTAAGCTTATCATCTCTAAAGAGCCCTAAAGCTGGCCTCTTAAACACGAAAGAAAGAGAAAGTCTTCTTAAAAGACTATTTTTTCCTCTAGTACCGGAGCGTTTTGCTCTTTTTCTTCATACTGCTGCCTGATTGTCGTTCTATGCTAAATAATCTAATAAAATCTTTAGGGTAAAGTCCAAACGCATAAACGTCAACATTTGTGTAAAGAATGCCGGCTTTGTACCCGCACAGAGTACCACCTGTGTAATCCCAGTTCCTTGGGAGGCTGAGGCAGATGGATTGCAACTGTGAGGCCAAGGCTGGGCAGAATCCAAGAGATCAGAGAGACTGATGGGAAAAAAGGATTTATGTCCAAGATTTCAGATGTCCCCAGTTGAACTTATGTCCAAAGTGCTGGGTGTTAGAACAAACAAAAGGTTCTAGTTTTATACATTGGCTGAGGAGGTTTTTCTTCAGAAACTAAGGGTAAGAGGGCAAGCAAGGATTCAGAAGCAAGACAAAGCAATTAATAACTAGGCCTTGAAAAACACTACAGTCTTATGAGTCCTGTGAGAACATGATGGCATAAACTGTGCCTACAGGAGGTAGCTGCCAATCTTATTTGCTGGAGAACAAGGAGTTACAGCTACAGGGGAGGAGGGGAGTTGGAAGGAAGTTACTCTTTAAGTACTGCTTTATATGGTCCTGTCTCAAAGTAACATTTTTAAAATGGCTAAGGCTGTAGTTCAGGGATAGAGCACCTCTGGACAAAAAATGCAAAAAGATTTAATTGTAAAATACATATAATGAGAGTTATCCTTTTAATCATTGCTCTTTTTTCTTTGTGTTTTTTTTTTTATGTTGAGCATCGAGTTAAGAGCCTTACATGTGCTAGCATGTGCTGTGTCACTGAACTACACCTCAAGCTTGCGTTTTAACAATTTCCAAGTGTGCAGTTGGGTAGTATTAAACCTATGCACAATGTTGTGAACCTGCAGAACCTATTCATCTCAAAAAACAAAGTGAAGCCCTGCACAGTGGCTCATATCTGTAATCCCAGCCCTCAGGAGGCTGAGGTAGGAGGATTGCTGCAGGTTTGAGGCCAGCCTGGGCTATAAAGAGTTCAAGGCCAGTTCAGACTGTGTAGTGAAACTGTGTCTCAAAAAAAGAAAAATCTGAAACTGAGCTGCATGTGGTGGCACAATCCTGGCACTTAGGGAGGCTGAGGCAGGAGAATCACATTGGTTTAGCCCAGCTCAGACAACTACTTAGACCCTGTCTCAAAATAAACATAAGGGGTTGGGGATATAACATAGTGTGTCTACCTGGCAAGCGTGAGGTTATGAATTTGATTCCTGGTACAAAAAAAAATACAAAACAAACATAAAAAGGGCTGAGGCTGTAGGTCAGTGTGAAGACCCTGAATTCAACCCCCAGTACCCCACACACAAAATCCCTCTGTAACCAGTAAAAACTCTCCATTCCCCTTTCCCTAAGTCCTTAGCAGCTATGATTCCATTTTTCTTAGAATAATGTCCTCTATGTTCATCCATGATGTAGCATGGATCAGGATTTCCTTTTATTAAGGCTGAATAATGTTCCATGTATGTGCATATCATAGTTTCTTTTTCTGTCACGACATTTGCGAAGCTATTTTCAATTCTTTCATATATATATATATATATATATATATATATATACATACATACACACACACATTGAGGTGGAATTCGCAGGCCATGTGATATTTCTCTTTATGTTTTTGGTGTTGAGGAATTGAACTCAGGGCCTCCTGAATGCTAAGCAGATGCCATACCCCTGAGCTATACCTTCGCTTCTATTTTTGACTTTTTTGAGACACTACAATTTGAGGTATGTTTCTTGACCTATGAGGTGGAGTTGGGAGGTCTGGCTATCGAGAGATATTTGAGAGTCATCAAAATATTGATGGTATGTAGATTGGATTGATTTGTGCAGGAAAGCTCAGGTTTGGGTAGGTGTTGCAAGTCAGGGCAGAGTGAAGAAGACAGGTTGTCTAGTCTATGTCCGCACAGCTTCACAATTTGGAAGTGAGTGAGTTCAGGGCCAGCCTGAACTACATAATGAAACTCTGCCTCAGAACAAAGCAAGAAAAATGTCCTGTATGGCCTGAAGGCTCACAATATTATAGAGCTAAGTTTGTAGAAATATTAGCAGCAGCTGGACAGGGCTAGGCATCCAAGGGAGTCAGTGCAGGTGATGAGAATACGTTGTGACTGGGGCTGGAGGTGCACCCATTGAAAGACAGGCCTTGAGGTAAAGATGGGATGATCAGACCTACATACCTCCCTGAAAAGTAAGAAATGTACTATAGGACCGGGTGTTTAGCTCAGTGGCACAAGCACCTGCCTGGCAAGTGCGAGGTCTTGAGTTCAATCCCTCGGACCAAAAATAAAAGAAAGAAATACACTATAACTGGTATCACCTGAGCCAATAAAGTCTAGAGAGACACTAGTCAGTCACCCAGGTGGGTGACTGGGACCTTCTGACTCATCTCTTCCCAAAAACGTCCCTTGTTCTTTCCATGTACATTTGTCACTTGGCTTGCTTTCCCATTAGATCAACATCACCTAAGCTGCTATAAATGTAACCTTATGGGTTGATCATAGCTTTGTCCTCCCTGTACTCACCTTGTGACTTTGCTCTATAAAACTTCCTCTGGAAAGTGGTGTCCACAGCAGTCATCTCAGTCCCCTCCTGTTTCTCAGCACCTGTCTCTCCCTTGATAAAATTTCCTGCTCTCAACATCTGTTGTTTCTTAGAATTAATTCTTTAGTTTTGGAGAACACGAATCAGCATATCAGACATCTAGCAGGTTGGGAGTTACATTTCCCTTATATCATTTGGAGGCCTTGCTGAGATCATTGGAAGGAGGTAAGAGTTTGCTTTTATTTCATGGATTCTAGATTATGGTTCACTTAGGTGATCAAAAATTGTCATCCTTGTTCGCCAGTTGCTCATGCCTTGAATTTTATGCTTTGTCTCTTTTATGCATTATTTTTGTTAAAAAAATTGTGGAAAGATTATTTCTTTGAAGCAACATTTGACTTTTGCAGGCAAGACCTTGTATTCCTGTTTTATATATACTGAATTTGGACTTACTAGTTGGTAAATTTATTGATGTTCTTTGTTTGACCTATTTGTTGTGATTTGTTATTTTATGTTAAACAGCAGGAAAAAAATACTGTTAGAGCACCTCTTAGGTGGACTTTGATGTGAAATGCTATAAATGGGTCTTCTTATAAAATCTATTTGTATTTTAAAAATACAGATACCTGTATTTTTTGTATTTTAAAAATATAAATACCTATTGTATTTTATCTATTTGTATTTTAAAAATACAGATACCTATTAATAAATCACGGGACTTCATTTGCTGCTATTAAGACTTGGAGGACAGGTTTCTCTGGGATGTCTGGCTTGATCACCCTCTACTTTCTAGAGGGAATGTTAAGCCTCCAGTGCATCAGGTACCTTTCAGTTCTGATCGCTAGTGATGAAGCAGTGTTAGCTCTTAAGATCCCCCATTCTTCTCTTTCCAGGATGACCGAGATGACTCACAGGCAAGTTGTGTCAATAACTCACTGTGAGCATGACAAAATAAAACTTCCTTTTAAAAAATCGTATTTCTGACCTTTTCCCTGTCACTTTGTACTTTTCTTTTTTTGGAGGCATGTTTCTGCTACAGATTAGAGAGTGAGGAACTCTGAATGGTTCCAGCCTTTCCCTCAGATCCAATAACTAAGAACCTTTAAGTTGAGCCTTTAGAAAATGAACATTTGCTAGCACCAAAGATAGTGGAGTCTTATTAGATGAGGGGCACTACCCTACTCTGGATCACATGAGATGTTGAAACTTTAGCCACCCAGGAGAACACGCAGCAAGGCGATGCTCCTGATTA